ATATGTATACAAACTAAATAAGAACTGCCAAGGTAAATATGAGAAAAAAATTTAATATTATTCTAGAAATTTAATAAGTAATATTTGTACAAAGTACAGCTTAGCACATTAATGAACCATTAACAATTATTTAGTATTGTTCTAAAAAAAAAAGGAACTTTTTAATACCAAGACCTTAAGAAATTACTTACCATAGTAATATTTAACACTTTTCCATCTCCACTGGCGGTTTGAGCATCCATGTTCTTCTTCTTCGTCTTTTTTTTTTTATTATTACTTTTTTTTTTTTTAATTTTCTCCCTTAGTTTATAGAGTTGCTTAAATGTTTTAACAAGCAATCCTCTCCCTTTTATAATCTTATTTAATTAGGTTTTTTTGGTTAATTTCAAATACTAATTTTGTTTTCTAATTAACTTAGATAATACTACATTTGGTCTTAGTACTAAATGAACACGTCTCTCAATAGGAATTGAAATATAAATATTGTCATTAGTGAAAATCTTACTTGAACTTAAGAAATTGTGCACTTAGCTAGAGGCAAAGCAAAAAAAAAAAAAAAAAAAAAGAAACAAATGGAGTAGTGGGGTTTTGATATTTGTAAAACCAACAAATATTGATAACGTGGTCAAATTTAAGAAAATTTTCGTTAAAGGAAATCGAGATAACAGACATTAATGAAATAGATAATAATATAATAATGATAGAGGTCCATTAATCTCCATTTCTCCCCTCCCTAAAGGAGTAGTGACCGTGGAGACCGAGTTAAGGATTGACTAAATTGAAGGACTTTTAGGGAGCTACTAATCACCCACTAAAGTCTACAATTTCTCTAAAATTTGAGGAGCTAACTCTAAAACGATAATTGGGAGCTCCACTACATATGCTCCTAATGTTGCTATTTTTAGAGCCAACAACTCTCTCTCTTGTGAATAGATGCAGATCTTTCTGTTTGTGGTGTTTTATTCCTTATTCGGTGTTTTATTTAGTTAGAAGATTGCGCAAAACTCATCAAATATGGCCTATGCTTTCTTTTTCTTTTTTACTTGCACGGCTGATGATGCTCTAGTTTACGTAAAATGGATGTCTGAAATTTCCACAGTAAGAAAAACAAAAGCAGAGACTTGTACATCTCTAGAGATTGGTACTACAACAATTTGGGGTTTATACGGCCCTTTTTGTACCCCAACGGTTTCAGAACCGTTGTATAAACACGTATTTATGATTTATATAACGCTTTTGAAAATATTGTTGATGCTATAAAACTGTCATATAAAGGTGTATTGTTGACGCTTTTCTAAACACTCATGTTTAATATTTTTTACCGTCATATGGAACTTAATAAAATATAGCATTACCCAGTGTTTGGGAGGCCCGAGGCAAGAAACGAAATAAATCTATATAAAATTATTTTTATATGATATTTTATAGTTAATTTAATTAAAAATGTATTAAATTTTTATTTTCAACTTTTAGACAAAAGATAAATCAATGGTGAACAATGAAACAATAGTATAGTTGGAACTTTTGAAATCCTTACACATAAACATAAATATATATAATATAAATTTTTTGAAGGTCCTTTGTCAAAGAATAGTAGTTAAAGAAAAATGGGGAAAACAAATATTATTAAAAAATGATTTATACTCTTGGCTCTCCTTTAAAGCAATATAATTGGGCAGTCTAGAAATATATATTATGTTTATTTTTATTAATTTAAGTTTAAATATTTCATTAATTATTTTTATAATTTTATCACATTTGTGTTATTACTATATACACTTGGCTAGTAGTTTGAAAAATATTAACTCAACAAAACTGACATTTTTAAAAATATTTTATGAATTAATTCTAAAGTGGTATAGATAAATAAGATAAACTGGAGAAAAAGAATAATAATTATATTAAAATTGAAATATTTAATGAAGAAAAGAAA